GCAGTCAGGTTAGAATGGATAAAAGGAAGTACTTCTTCACCCAAAGAGTGATTCACACATGGAATTCACTGCCACAGGAGGTGGCAGCAGCTACAAACATGGACGGCTTCAAGAGGAAATTGGATAAACTTATGGAGCAGAGGTCCATCAGTGACTATTAGTCACAAGGTATAGAAAAGGAACTCTCGGTCTTGGGCAAATGATGCTCTGCATTCTTGGCGCTTGGGGGGGAGCAACAGTGGGAGGACTTCTAGTGTTCTGGCCCCACTGCTGGACCTCCTGATGGCACCTGGTATTTTTGGCCACTGTGTGACAGAGTGTTGGACTGGACGGGGCATTGGCCTGATCCAACATTGGTTTCTCTTATGTTCTTATGTTTGTATTGACAAATACAATTAATTTTTATTTAGGTTCCTTTTAAAAAAACACAAAATCACTCAGGGATAACTGGTTATTTCCCAAACGCTTCTCCCCCATGTCAAGGTACGATTCCTACATCCAGTCCCAGTCATGACCACACAATTTTCTGTTCAATGGCTGCCCTATATAGAGCACATTAGTTCAATCTAGAGATTACAACATGCATGAATCAGAAGATGCTGATGTTCAAGGAGCAGTTCATACAGCAAAGAAATATTGGGGGGAGGGGAAGCTAGCCATAGCTACCATCTGAACCTGAAGCAGCATTGCCAGGTTCTGCAGCACTCCCAAGCAGTGGTTCTGCTTCTTCAGTGGAGTGCATCACATCCAGAGTATGCCATTCCTGACCAAGTGACCTACCTACATAAGCTCCATCTTCCTGAGATTGAGCATCAGTGCCTTAGCCCTCATACAGCCCATCACTGATTTTAGACATCTGCTCAGTAAATCTGCTACCTCTGTAGGATATGAGCAGAGACATAACTTTTAATTAATTTATTTATTTAGACCTGGCTTTTCTCCCCAACTGAGCAGTTCCTCCATTTTATTCTCACAACAAGTTTGTCAGGTAGGTTAGGCTGAGAGTGTGTGACTGGCCCAAGATCACTCAGCAAGCTTCTACAGCAGGGGGGATTCAAAATCAGGTCTCCTAAATCCTGGTCCAACACTCTTACCACTACACCATGATGGCTTGCAATTGTGTGTCATCAACACACCAATGGCATGGACCTCACCCAAGTAATTCAATTCTTTAAATATGCTGGGGTAATGGCAGTATTTTTCTCAACTCTCTTGGACAGAGCAGGACTGTCTCAGTATCTCACCTTAAGAACATAAGATGGACCAATGTTGGATCAGGCCAAAGGTCCATCTAGTCCAACACTCTGTCACACAGTGGCCAAAAATACCAGATGCCATCAGGAGGTCCACCAGTGGGGCCAGGACATTAGAAGCCCTCCCACTGTTGGCCCCCCAAGCACCAAGAAGACAGAGCATCACTTGCCCCGGAGCCCCTATCTATACCTTGTGGCTAATAGCCACTGATGGACCTCTGCTCCATATGTCTATGTGTTCCAACCCTTTTATCATTCGAGTTGCCCTTTTCTGCACTTTTTCCAAAGCTATAATATCCTTTTTAAGGTGTGGTGCCCAGAACTGCACACAGTATTCCAAATGAGGTCTCACCATTGATTTATATAGGGGCATTATTATATTGGCTGATCTGTTTTCAATACCCTTCCTAATAATCCCCAGCATAGCATTGGCCTTCTTTATTGCAGTCACACACTGTCTCGACATTTTCAGTGAGTTATCTACTACAACTCCAAGATCTCTCTCTTGATCTGTCTCTGCCAGTTCAGACCCCATCAATGTGTATTTATATTTAGGATTTTTGGCTCCAATGTGCATCACCTTGCACTTGGCCACATTGAACCCCATTTGCCATGTTGACGCCCACTCGCCCATCTTTGACAGATCCCTTTGGAGTGCCTCACAATCCTCACTGGTTTTCACCACCCTGAACAACTTCGTATCATCCGCAGATTTAGCCACTTCACTGCTTACTCCCAACTCCAAATCATTAATGAACAAGTTAAAAAGCAGTGGACCAAGTACTGATCCCTGTGGTACCCCACTGCTTACCCCCCTCCACTGGGAGAACTGCCCATTTATACTCACTCTCTGTTTTCTATTAATTAGCCAGTTTTATCCCATGATTTTTGAGCTTACTTAGGAGCCTTTGATGAGGAACTTTATCAAAAGCTTTCTGGAAGTCAAGGTAAACAATATCTATTGGATTCCCCTTGTCCACATGTTTGTTCACCCCCTCAAAGAACATTAACAGGTTAGTGAGACAAGATCTTCCCTTACAGAACCCATGCTGAGTCTGCCTCAATAGGTGTTGTTCATCTATGTGCCTACTAATTCTTTCCTTAATAATTTACCTTCTTTAAATTCACAAGATCAGAATTACTACAAGGCAGAACCCCCTTTTCAAAACTTTCCAGAGTCTCCAGATGCTATCAAAAGGCATTTGAGAGGCCCAGGAAATCTAAAGATTCACTCCCTAATCTGTCTTCTAAGGAAGGTCATTACTAGTGTGACTAAGGCTGTTGCTGTCCCTAAAATAGGTTTGAAGCCAGACTGAGGTAGGTCTAAATCTAATCCATTACGTCTTGCCATGCTATTTGCCCCCAAAAGGAATATGAGGCACAGATCTCAGAAGCTGCTGTGCAGTCAAACAGATAAAGGATGGAGTTCAGATTCTGGAGTGACGGTACAATGGCTTCTTTAAGAGGCTCAGGGACCATTCCATCTTTCTAAGGAGTGTTGACCAGCGGCCTAATGGCCTGAGCCAATTTCTCATGGTAAATTAATACTAGCCATGAGGAAGAAGAATCCAGAGCACAGATGATTTGCTCCATAGTCAGCTCCAAGGACAATGTCCACAGCATCAGACATTAACGACCTGGAGAAACTGAGTCAGGATTTTTACCTACAGACCTGTCCATCACATTTTACCCTACTGATCCTTTATGTTGCTTAGGGCAGTATATAGAGTTCACCCTTCCTCCTTTTTATTATCACAACCACCTTGTGAGATAGGCTAGGCTGAACAAGTGTGACTGGCCCATGATCACCCAGTGAGCTTCACGAGGATTTAAATCTAGGATCCTAACCTGACAGTTTATGCTGGTATAAAGCGTTGATTAAACTAGTCATAGAACCCTATTGGACACTATCAGTTCACTAAAGGATTCCCAGATCAAATTAGGCCAGGCACCACTTGGAAAAATAAAATGATAAACAACTTTTAATCTTGCCTAGAGGTGATTCACTGGCCACTCGCATAGATGAAACCAATGATTTCAGAGTCTATACCAGCGTAACTAATGATTGAATTGGTCTCCTAAGAATACTAATTTCAATGTGGAATTACAATAATTTAAAAGCATACTGTGATAAAACACTCAGAGCAGTTCTGTAGAAATATCACATTTTCACGGCATGTGCAAAAATGCAAAGGAAAAAATATGAAAGAACTTTAACATGCCCTTTAAAATAAGGATTAAACACTAATGACATTTGTGCTTAAAAGGCCACTTCTGAATGCAGCTGCTGAAGAAGTATAAGCAACTGCTGTGATCCTTAAAAGCTGCTACTAAAAAAAAATGATCACGCTTAAAGAATTAAAAATTAGCTTTTGATTACTGCAGATGAAACATTGTTCACTATGCTGCAAGATGCATGTCTTCTTTTTATACTTTAGAAATTATTTGTTAAGGTTAAAAGTCACACTGCGTTTTTTTAATGCACACATTCATGGCTGGATTTTCTCATTTTTCAAAGAGGACATCTGGTCTCAGCAGCACGGGAGTCAGTACACGAAGACAACAAAACAGAAGACTTTACTCTGTCTGCTGGAGTAAAGATCAGGCATGAGCACCTCTTTCCATCAAAGTGGCAGCTGCAGATATAGGTCTAGATTTTTGTTGTTCTCATACGTTATGTTTCTCTAGCTTTTCAGTTCACAATAGCCTATCATGCTGAAAACTATTCTTTTGACTATTTCAATTGTCTTTTACATAATACCAAGCTTTACAGAGTATTCTAGATTACTCCATCGTCCTTACATGTTGCTTTCACAGTTACTGGGGTAGGAAATAAAGGAAGGGACTATTTAGGCTTGAAATTATCAGTTTTATTGCATTTACTGCCTTGAGCATTACCGAAATCTGTATGCAGTACTTTTTATGGTTCTGCATAATTTCTCAGTTCACAGGCTGAGTGTCACAAACACTTGTACATCTTTTGCAATACCCTATCAAGGGAAACAGAAAATAGATCTTTCATTTTTAATGCAAGATATAGACTTGTAAATAGGAAGATTCAGAAATCTGTCCTAGTCCAGAAATCCGTCCTAGTCCTCCTGCATAAAGCTCCTCTACTAAGAACAGCTTTTCTGTGCATCACTGGAACTCCTTGAGTACTCGGTCTGTATACCCATATTTCTAGATTAGAATGACAAAATTTGCCTTACAATGGCTACCAGATAGGAGTGTACATAACAATCAGATTTTAGCTATGTATTAAGGAATTCACCTGTATTAGATGATAATTAAAACAGTTACACTTTTGTCTTCCCTAAAACAGTACAGACCTCAGTGTGTGGAACCCACAAATAAGGCTAGATTTCTAAATCAGATCTCATCCTCCCCCATAATTTCAGGGATTTATTCTCAACAGTCAGCAAATTTTGGATACTTCCACAGCATAAAGATGGTCAAACCTGACCCCAGGAATCAAATTGATCTCAAACAGCATCCCCCTCCCAGCAAGCCTTTGTTTCCCCCCAGTTCAGCTAGACGGAAAAGACCCAAACTGTTCTTTAAATGTCTCCCTTGGAGATCATTTGGATCATAATCAGAAAATAAGTTAAAGAGATCCTGAATCACTAATCAAAGAAAGTCTGAGCAAATAATGACTAGGTTGAAATTAAGTCCAGGCTGAAATTAAGTCAATAATATATACCCTGTGTGTGTATGCATGTATTGTATTTGTGTGTACAATACACACACACACACACACACATATACACACACACGGAGGTGTTGTTCAAACTTGTACTACTGAACACGTACACATACTTTATTCAGGAGAACAGGATCCTGAGACAGATGGAACCTTCACCCATCTGGAAAACTACCCACTCAACTGTCTTGGGAAGTCCTGCCACAGCTCATGGCTTGGCAAGAGAGTCAAGATGGCTGCTTCCCCACCCTCAGCCGACTTTCCACCCACCAACTTATCTCCACCCCCCAGGAATGCAGGGGGTGCCGCCCCATTACCTCTTTGGGTCCTTCCCTTGTGGTGCCTTGCAGGAACCAGAATTTTGTCTTTAAGGGGTTATGAAAGCTATTTCAGTCACAGCTGAATATGAATTGAACCTCAAAATGTAATGGCTTGAATCCTAAGGTTATCTGTAACATGATGTGGTTGGCTCATCGACAAAAAAAGGTTGTTGATAATATTTCTTCCTGACTAAAACAAATAAACAGAAGTTGAATGAAGCAGTTAGATAATGGTGTGTAACTTACTGTTCATCAGCAGTACGCACCATGTTATAATGGAGGGTCAATGACAAAATGTATCCACAGTGAAATCAAATGAATGCTTTATATATATAGATTGATGCAATGCGACCGTGTCATAAACACCACATTTTAACAGAGATGAGAGGTCAAAACAGCACCATTTGCATTTCTTTTCCTACGGCAGATGTAGGACACTTGGTTTAAAGCACCCAATATTTATGTGATTGCTTCTCACATGCCCCTTATACCCACAGAGAAGACTGCCAGTGTTTTTGCCTTCCTCCTCATCTATCCATCTCCACAGCACATAATTTTTCTGCTGTCCCCCCAATGTAGTTTTACAGAAGAAGCTATTTGAACTTGCTCTTAACCTTAACAGCATGTCTTCATTTAAAAGATGAAATTACATTTTAAGAAATAAGGTGATCAAGATTCCAGTACATCCTGTGACTGTTCTGCCCTGGGAAACTGGAAGCGATTCCTTCCAGATTTGCTGTCTTCCATGGAGTATATCATTCTATGCAGAAATTACCAATGAAGAAGGGCTATAGATCTTCACTGTCTCATCCCAAGCACAGTCTGCCACCTATGGAGAAAAAACACAATTAACTTTAGAGAGATGCTGGGAGAAAAACAGACAAAAGCGAAAAGGAATTATAGTATTATGGACAGAAAAGGATACCCACATAATCTTTGTATTTGTTACAACTGGCTCCCAGATTCTAATCATTTTCATTGATTATTCTGCCTACCCCTTTAGTGAACATACCTACAATGATGTAATGAAGCAACATATACTCACATAAAATACAAAATTATTTACTTCAGAAAACAATGTCAGGTCTAAAAACTACTGTAATTCTAGGTGGATAGTGAACTGAAATAAGGGTTCCTCTCTTAAAGATTAAATTATTTATAATTCTTAAAAGACTGTTCTACCCCATTTGGCAGAACTGAGTCATGAGCAGATACTTTCATGAAGTAATATGTGATTGCTGTAAGGAAGATCAGATCCACCCCTTACTAAGGTAAGAATAACTCTAGAATATCAAAACCATCATGAGGGAGCTCACTTTCCCCCTGATAGTTTTGATAGTTTCCCCTTAGACAGTTCTGATGGTTAACTCTGACTGACTTCAAAGTAAAGGATGAGAAATTTCCCTGTAGTGATTCAGCCTTCTCTATCAAATTCCAAACAAGATGGGTAGCCGTGTTAGTCTGTCTGTAGCAGCAGAAAAGAGCAAGAGTCCAGTAGCACCTTAAAGACTAACAAAATATGTGGCAGGGTATGAGCTTTCGTGAGTCACTGCTCACTTCTTCTACTGGACTCTTGCTCTTTTCCACTGATTCAATAGGTGATAAGCCACCAATGCAAAAGCACCATCTCTGATTGCCACCCACCTCACATTTCTAGGTCTCACCTCTCTGCACAGAAAGCTGGGCTTATTGAGAAGAGTCTGAACTGGTGAGCTGGACAGTATGTGAGGAGGCAGTCCTTCAAGTACCATGGCCCCAAGCCATTTAGGGCCTTATAAATCAGATCTAGCACTTTGAATTATTTTCCTGTATGATACCCCTGCTGAAGCCCTGGGGGAGTCACACTCAAACCTGAGAGAGGTTGGACATTCAACAAGGTTTGTTTGATATGCATTTTCCATGAGGTCTGTGAATGCGCTTCCTTCCTGTACTCTTTTAGAAATCTATGCAAGACATTTGATCTTGGCAGGTGTTTCAGAGCATCTGACTACACATATTCTAGTCACTAACTCCACCTGGGCCACTGCAGCATCTTTATGGGTTGTTTTTAATTATGATATGTCTGTTGACCTTGCTAAGAAGAGTATAGAGCTTCTGAGCAACTGGAGAGGAAATTCTGCTCCCAGCCATCACTGTCCCCAACTCCCTCTTAAGAAGAAGGTTGAGACAGGCTGTTTCTATCAACTGTGGGGACACCCCCCCCCCCAGCTTCCTATGTTTTGGGGGGAACCATGTTTATTTTCAACTATAATTCTTCCCCTCAGATACCAGGTGTTCTAAAGATAGCGAGCGTATAGGCTTTGGGTTCACTGCTGTGAGGTAAGTTTTGTGGTGCGCAAGTAGAATATGGAGGTCACTGAGGCAGGAATTATATATTAACAACAAAGAAGATTTATTTATTTGCAAGTAGGTTTCAAGGAACAGATCAGCAGCACAGGTGTCTTGACAAACAAAATAAAACCTGGCTGAGGCTCATCAATTTAGAGAGTAGTTTCAATTTTCTTTAATACTTCCAAGCATAAACAGGCCTTCACCAGTTAGCCACTAGGCGAATTGCTGCAGGTCGGAAGGTCGGTAGTTCAGCAGTTCGAGACCCGAGTGCCGCATTATGGAGTGAGCTCCCATCTCTGGTCCCAGCTCCTGCCAACCTAGCAGTTCGAAAGCAAGAAATTGCAAGTAGATAAATAGGTACCGCTTCGGTGTGAAGGTAACAGCGTTCCGTGCGCCTTGGCGTTTAGTCATGTCAGCCACATGACCACAGAAACGAGCTGGCTCTTCCGCTTGGAAACGGAGATGAGCACCGCAACCCTAGAGTCGGATTTGACTGGCTTTCGAGCAAGGGAAACCTTTACCTTTTACCTGGATCCTAACACACTCACACACATGATTCCACCCACACCAACCTGCCCTTTCCCAAGAGTCCAGACAAAATGGCCCAAAGTCTGCTCATTGCCAGATATAGGCCTAACAATTTTTCCCCTTCAGGGGCAGGACATTTTTCCCCTTCAGGGGCAGGACAGAGGTCCATCACAGAGGTTGCCAAATAATCCTTGCAAAGAAGGCAGCTCAGGTGGCCATGCCTCACCAGTTCAGGACACATATTTTGCAAGAGGTCAGAAAGCTGTTGCAAGCCAAAATGTTGGAAGGCTTGGATGAGACACATGAACAAAAGAAAAATCCAGGGTTTTCACTAGAGTAAAATTTCAGGCATTCACATAACGTTACCCATATGACAAAAATGTATGCCTCTATAGCCATTATTTTTCTTGTTCTCAACATAGATTTTTTAAATATACATAAAGTGCAAAGTATGGTGAGACTTCACTGGCCTCTGGGGAATGGAATGTTGACTGAACTAGTCTCATCATCATATAAACAGAATTTTATTAGACTTGTAAGTGCAAAAGCAAACACCAGTTTTACAGACCCAATGGAAATTACAATCAGGATAAGAAAACACCTGTACATTTTAGGGCAGAAAGTACTGTACAAAATGAATCATATTGGATTAATGTAATTAAAGTTTCATAGCCAAACCGCAGAAAGAAAGAACAGATAGATACCACAGTGACAACTAGATAACCGAATGATGTACAATGTACTGGAACAGTTAAAGGGCCAAAGAAATTGTCACAGAAGAACCTTCCACAGAAATCAAGTTAATGATACTGTTAACCATAAAGCAATGTGTATACTTTATAAAAATGTCCTTGTCTGATAAGGATATTGTCTTAAACAAAGCTCAAAGACTATACCCTTAAATTACTATTCTGTTATAAAACAGAATTGTCCTAATTTAAAATCCAATTAGTACAGTAAGGTATAAAGCTGAGGCAAAAAAGACACTTGGTTATTATTCAGTGTGCTGTTTTTTAAACTGAAATATGTGCCTTGTGTAATTTAACAAAAAATCCTTTTCATTATTGATTTTTTTTGTAGACTACAGAACTCACACAGTGGGGTTTCTTCTAAGCATCATATTTGGAAATTAAAAGCAGGTATGTTTCCTTTTAGTACATCTAGTTGCCGAGAGGAAACAATACATAAAACACCATCTGCAAAATCCTTGGGGAATTCCCACCTGTGAGCAACTTAATTAGAACCATGGAGCAGCTTCTGAACACAAATACAGTAACAGAGGAAGTTCATCAGATCACAGAGAGAGCAAACAGGGTTTCTACAAAATGCAGACTTCCAAGGTCCATTTTGCATAATTCAGTTCAGCTCCATTTCTGATAACACTCTGAAAACCTGAAGCGTAACTAAGCAATGACAGCAAAGAAAACATGAACAGGAAATAATTCTGACAAATATTTGTGATATCTTGAAGTCTAATAGATGTAAATCAATCTCTGTATAAGGCATTGTGATGAGTCAATAGACACCTCTGCTACAAAAGGAGCAATATGTGGGCCTAAAAAGACAGAGTATGTTGCCTGGCAATGTATCACTTAACAAACAAAAGGAGAAAATACCAGTTAACAGCTCATCAAAGTCTGAGCAATATTTAACTTTTTAAAAAGATTTATATAATTCTAAAGCTCAGGATTGGAAGCACTGTTTTATCATATCATATCATCCATTCTCACAATAGTGTTGGAGTATACATCACCATTATTCCCACTGTTATTTCAGCCAGGTAGTGACTTGCAATACAAACCAAGACACACCAAGCCGGCAAAGTGAAACATGAATGTGGGTTTTCCAGATACAGTCTAATGCTCTGTCTATTATAGTAACTTTGAGAGCGAATATTCTGTAGTGGTTAGAATGTTGAATTTTGACTTGAGAGACCCGGGTTCAGATTCCTGCTCAGCCACAAAGCTTGCTGGATTTTCTTTGGGCCAGTCACTTTCCATCTAATCTACTTTAGGGCTATAGTGAGGATAAAACAGAGGAGCATAATTCTATATATGCTACCATGGCCTCCTGGGAAGAAGGGTGGGGTAAAAATCTGAGAATTCATTCATTCATTCACTTACCTCACTGATTGATTGACTGATGTTTAATTTATACCCCAACTTTCTCTCCAACAGGGACCCAAAGCGGCTTACATCATGCTCTTCTCCTCTGTCCCCCCCCCCCGAAGTGGATGTTTTTTATTGCATTTTCTAATATCTACATACTAAAAGCTACAAACAGAAAATCCGGTGTGGGGGGGAACTACATCTATGGGAGAAAGTAAAGAAAACCCTCTAAAAACCCAAGAGATGGTGATCATACATACGTTTGCAAATTTACCCTTAAACTTAAACACAAGTTAACATTCGCTGAAAATGTTCATCTATCTACTTAAATATATCTAATACGTCAATATTTCATAAAAAGAGTGTAAAACAACATGTATTAAACTACTTTTTAGATATTTCAGAGAACATTGACAATCTATTTTTCCTTTCCCTTTCTGTGTCTCAACTGATAGCCTCGTTTAGTACCCGCCGCTCCCAATTTAGAGTCAGAGTCTTTCTCAGAGGATCCAGCCTCTCCTTCTTCTTTGCTTTCTTTAGCTTCACCGGTTGCACCTCTTTCTGCTGGGCTGCTATGTTGGCACAAAAAATTCACAAGCTTTTTCAACAGAGTCAATCCTTTCTCTACCATTTGCATATCTGAAGATTAGACCCTCGGGTGTTAACCATCTGTAAGCAACATCATGCTTTTGTAAGAATAGAGTCAAGTCTCTGAATTTCCTTCTTTCCCTTCTTATCTCAAATGGAATGTCCTTCAATATTCTTATATCTTTGTCTTTGATCTTCAAGGTAGCTCCATTAGATGCTTTCGATAGTTGGTCTCTCACTTTTCTTTGAGAGAATCTTATTGTAACTTCCCCGG